TTCAGCTACGCTATTCACGTAGCTGAATTTGCGTATCTTAAATCGACTCCCCCCTGTAGTGTAGATGTAGCCTTAGAAACGTAGCCAATCAGTTGTTTTAATTGTCATATTTGAATTCAGTACATCAAAATACATAATAAATAGCACATTTTAGCTCTGAAGCAGATGATTTCTCAAAAATTGTAGACCGGTGTAATCAGGTCTAAGTGCTTAGTCCTGCTGTGGGACAGTGTTTCTGTGGAAGAGACGGCCCAGTCTGCACTAGCAGCGAGGTTCTCCCACTGAGAGCTCAGCTGAAATCACTGAGAGCTGGGTGGAACCTCAAGAGACCAACTCACAGAGGTCACAGTGGCAGGTGGCAGCAGAAGATGATGGCGCAGGGCCATTGGCAACAGAGCGATGGAGTGAATGGTGGCACAATGAACAACAGTGGCCAGAGCGAACAGTGAGCAGGTGGAGGAACGAGCAAGGTACCTTCTTGCCCCCCACGTGGGAGGTGAACTCACGTGAAAGCACCTCTGAACTCGGAGTCTCCACTGACCAAGGACAACAAGGGTGAATGTTAATGAGGCTATTAAGAATGCTGGAGACACATCATACTTTCTATTTAAGCAAGAGATACCACACACTACAAACTGGAGGCCAATATTAAGTGCATTGTCATCCTGAAGTTAAACACTGGTTCCGAACAAGACCAGCAAATGCTCACTATCTCAGCTCAACTGACTGGCTAGAAGCATGGGGTGTAATAGTGAAAGACTCAACAGTTGAAAAAGTGAAGAACTCTCTCACCACATTCAAAAATTTGCATACATGGCTGATGAATGCACCGATGCAAATGGGCATCAAGTATTAAGTCATATGTTATCTTGATGTCAGTGGTAGGCCAGTAAATGCATGTCTAGATGTTCAAGCTATAGAAGACACATCAGCTGCATCTTTGACAACCTATATCTTAGAAGAGTAAAATGCTTGTCAATTGGACCCCAAACAGATGGCTGCTTGTGCATTTGATGGAGCTAGAAAACTTCGCTGGAAGACATGGTGGAGTACAAGCTTTGCTCAGAGAAAAGTGTAACCCTAATCTCTCCTATACACACTGCATTTACATTTACTCCAACTAGCGCTAGTATGAGCTGCAGACTCTTCAAATATATTTTAAAAAAAAAGCTATAAATTTAATGTCTTCATTATATCCTTTTTTCAGCAAGAGTCCAAAAAGACTGAATATCTCGGAAAATAGAGAAGATACACTGGGACTGAAGTTCAAATTAGTCCAACCTGGGAAAACCCTCTGGCTTTCTCATGAGCGATCTTTGGCTTTTGTCTTAAAATTACTCCAGCCGTTATTACTGGCTTTGGAAAGTATCTACCAAGATGGGATGGATCTAAGTAGTGAGGCTGGTGGATTACTTTTGCTACTACGTTCAGAGAAGACTATTGTCATTCTCTCTCTTGTAAGTCTACTGATGAAACCACTTGGGTCATTACACAATGCCATCCAGGCATCTGCTACAACAGTAGTAGATCTTTGTCCAGCAATAGAAGCTACATTTGGATCAATCCGAGAGCTATCCATTGAAAAAGTACTGGAAGAAGCAAAGACTTCAGTCCAGAAGTTGACTAATGAAGGCATTTATACTGAATCCTTAAGTGAAGAGGACATGAAGCGTTTGTTAAGACAACTGAAAAAGTACACAGACTTGATTCTTTAAAATCTACAACAGCGACTTCTAGATTCTACTCAACCTCTACGTAGCTTTTACAGATCCCTGTCCCATAAAACACTGACAGTTGAGTGGAGTCAGGCACTACCAGCAATGGGGCTGCCATGTGCTCAGGACAGAATAGAGAATTTGATCACAGAGTTGAATATCATACGTGACGAATGAATGAAGATTTGACTTCAACTTCTTTTTTATCATCACTAGTGGCTCAACCCGATCTTTGTGTTCTGTTTCCTAGGATGAAAGAAGTAGGAATTCATCTCATGCTACTCCCAGTCACAACAGCTACAGTTGAGTGTTCTTTTCCATCATTGAATGGAATTTTGAGTTCTGAAAGAAGTCGTCTTCTGCCTGATCATGTGAATGAACTAATGAGGATATCAATTGAAGGAATGGAAGTAGTGGACACACAAAAAGCCACCGAAGATGAATGCATTGCATTCTAGAAGTTCATTAACAGAGTTGTGCAAAATTATAACAAGAAACCAAGAAGGATGTAGATGTAGTGCTTCATGGAAGGCTTGAGTAGCCAACTTTAATTTGTGTGATGATTTTAAAACATGAGTTAAATCTAATAAAATGGTCACGAAACATTTTTCAGTTTTTACTATGGTGCCATACAACCCACCTTCACCCTCACGGTCTCACCCCTCATCAGCCCTGACCTCCCCCCTGTAAAATCAACCTCCCCCCCAAATTTCAATTCCTGGGAAAAACACTGGCCTCTCCCAGCCTACCCTTCAGCTAGTAACTACTCCCACCTGCCACACACCCCACCCCTGCTGTCGGAGGGACCAATGGGGGCGGGGGGAGGGCAGCCACACACAGCACTAGAGGAATTGGAAGCCAGCAGGCTCCCCACAGCTCAAACCAGGGGAAAATTCTTTCCCAGCCCCTCCCCCAGCCCAAGGACAGTGTCTTTCCCAGCCCCTCCACTCACCAGCCAAGACTCGCCCAGGGATGGCTGAGCCCCAAAGGTGCAAGCGCATTCCTGGGCAAGTACCAGAGCCTCCCATCCCACCAGGAGCTGGGCTGCCTTGGGCCGGGGACCTTGGGCCGGGGACCGTGGGCTATGCCAGCAGGCCAGCACTTCCACTGCCCACGGGAGAGACCACTACACTGCTCCATATCCCCCAGGAACACAATCCCTCCAGGAGACACCACACCTGGCCCCACACCAGACGCCCCTCCTCACCATGCTGGTCTGGAGCTGATCTTCCACAAAGAGCTTAAGGTTGGGCAGCACGGCTATGAGCGCTGCATCCTGTGTGGAGAGAGATGCAGACAGAGCCTCAGTGCCAGCAGGCAGGCTGATGCTACCATCAAAGCCCATGGGTCCAGCCCTACAGCTGCTCCACCCAACATCTGGGCATAAGGGTCTGTCCATAGCACCTTCCATCCCAACATGCTTTGCTGAGTGTGCAGTGACCACTGGCCCACCACTGAAATGCAGCCACCTCTGGAGTGAGGCTGGCAGCTGTTCAAGGGGCACATAACAGTGCAGAAGTAGAAAGGACATTGAAGTAGAGGGCAAGTCTCCAGCAATCCTGGGACACTGTGTCCTGGGCAGGCCCCAGCAGGCCACACCTACCCAGACACATCCCAGAAGGCTGCTGGGCTCTGGAGAGGCTTCTGCCAAACCCAGTACCTCATCTGGGAAGACGGTTCCCATGGGAGATGGGGGATTCGTGGAGCTGGAACGTGACCTGGATGCTGGATTTAACATTCCCAAGTCAGAGGGGAGGGGCATCCTGCTGGGGCAAGTGGGGGTCCTGGGGAGGACTCTAACTGGGATGCCAGCCAAGGTGCCCTGCACTAGGGAAGTGTCCCCAGCGCCCAGGAAATGGTGCTGGTGGGGAGGGTCTCTTCAGGTCCTTGTCCAGTCAGTGGACAACACCAGCCGGGGGGAGCTCTCTGAACATGGGTGGCAGGGGTGGCACGCGGGGGGTGAGA